TAGGGAAATTCATTTATTTTACCTTAAATTGTTAAGTTGAGGTAGAAATTATAGAGTAGTTTCAAAGTATATATAATAACGTAAAAACAAATGTGAAAATTATGCAACAAAATTTTGCAACTAGTGAAAATAGTTTAATCAGACCCAATTAATATCTCCCTTTTTACGATGGATCTTGACAATGTTCGACATAAATTTATGTCGAATTTCACAACCAAATTTATGTCTCCCGCTTTAATATCGGACTTTTTTTTAACATAAAAAATTTAAAATAAGTGACGTAGATTACTTCTTTTATAGTAATGTTTTCATCACATCTCTTCTCTCTCTTATTTTTTCTATATTATGCACTCAAAATGAGGGGAAAATAAGATGAATAAAAAAAAATAGTAAATAAAATAGATAAAAAAGAGTAAATTTTAAGTATATGATTTAAAAATAAAAGAAAAAAGAAATTAAAATTATATAAAAAGTTTTTAATTTCTCAAATTTAAGGTAATTAAATTTATTTTTGGTCCTTCAAAATTAAAATTATTATTTTTAATTTCTATAATTTTTAAAATCTTATTTTAATCTCTCAAGTCATTAATAATATATCTAAAAGTGATAAATTGAGACAATTATATAGTATCAATTATATTTAATGCGATATTTTTACAAATAGGAACATCGATAGATAAATTTTATGTGACAGTATTTGATAAATTTTTTAATAAAATTTGAGTATAAAGACTAAAATAATTTTTTTAAAATTATAGAGATTAAAAAAATTAATTTTAAATTTGAAAAATTAAAAATAAATTAATTTAAATTTTAAAGAGTAAAAATATATTTAAGTCTATAAAAAAATTGTACAATATTCCATTGATCCATACCAATTTATATTTTCTCTCACCTCTCTCCCAATTTATGTGCTATTTCCCCTCACTTTAACTAGTGAAATTTTTTAACATAAGACCTGCAACCTTTTTATTTTTTTCCCTTTATATTTCATTGGTACCGAATATAATAAGAGTATATTTGGATATAAATTAAAATTATTTTAAGAATTTTTTATTAAAATAAAAATCATTTTTTAATAAAAAAATCTCAAAATTATTTATAAACTTGGATTTAAACACATTCCAAATTTTAATATATTTTTCTTTTCTCTCTTCTATATTTTTATTATATTTCAATTCCATCAAACATAGTGTAAATGTGGTGAGTGAGAAAAGGAAAAGCAAATGAGAAATAGAGAGGAAGTAAAAAATGGGATGATGAATAACCAACCTTCCCAGAGTTATTATTTCGCCCAAGAGAATTGCGGTGGAGAAGATGGTCATGACCAGAGCCAGGGGTGTTGACATGGCTAGAAACACTGGTCCTTTCTTCTCTATAACCCATGTTTGCAAGTAATACGTTACACCAGTCACCATAATTCCCTACCATCATAAATTAGTTCCCATATATCAGTCATTAAGTAATTATATTCACAAAAGCTTGGACAACAGGTAATAATGTTCTCTTGGTCGTGGTTGGTATCTCTTGATAAATCAGTTTCTTATTCCTTCTCTCAGTGTGGCAAATGAATATTGGCCTATCCACACTCAGGGCTAGTTGGCTGATGATAAATAGGGGTGGTGGTTCTTGGTATGAAATGTATAAGGGTGTGCGGCCATTAGGCACACCAAATCTTGTATAAGGCTAGGGCCATTGGTACCCCACTACCAACATCATATATATATAATTTTCTTTACCTTTCAAAAAAAAAAATTATATTCAATTTTACTTTCGATAATTGTTTTTACATAGAAATAAAAGATAATAATCAATTTAATTATATGAAGATTTAGAGGATTAATTACACAATACACAACGGCGAGGAGTCTGACATTCCACCCCAACTTCCATTGCTCAATGTCTCTTTCTACGGCCAAGGCAATGCCCAAGGACTGAATTGAGCTTAAGAAACACTGGAGAGTTGTGAGGAGCAGCTTTGAAGGGTACCCTTTTATGACAAAAGTCTGGTCAATGAACAGGAATTGACATGATAAGAAGAATATTTTACCAAAACAGAAAAGAATAATATTAATCATGATAAGAAAAATATTAATTAAGGATAGAGTAAATTACACAAATATCCTTTAGAGTTTTGTGAAGTTATGCACAAACCTTTTACTTTTGTTTTTTAATCTTTATACTAACTCCTTAATCATTTGAAAAATATTATACACACACCTTAAACATTATATTAACTCTTGAATTATTTGAAAAATATTTAACTGAAATTTCTCCAAGAGAATAGTTGATGTAAAGGTTAAAAAAGTAAGATAATTGCGTGTTGTTTGAGAAAAATTCATGGAGGATGAATATAATTTACTCTTGACGATACTAAGAATTCATCACGAGTTAGTAACAAGCAGCAAGGAAAGAGTTTTACCTGTAGCACAAGCCACATTCCCCAAAAGGTGTTGGATAGGAGCATAAGGAAGCAACCCTTGATCCATGAGGCAGATGCATGACGACCCAAATGTTGTTGGCTTTTATGGTACCCTAAAAGGTGATAATGGCTTAATAGTTCCAAACGAGGGCCTTTATAGAAGGCAAGGGTTCCTGCTCCAGCCAAGCATGCCATTACACCAACCAACTTAGCAACCCCGGGGGCGCTCTTTACTTTCAAAACTTCTATCCTGAAACAAATTAACCAAATTCTTATGTGTGAGATATAATTAAAATAATCAAATGTCACAGTTCAAATTGCATGCACGTGGAGATGTAAATTAACGCACGTATCCATTTATAACATGTTAACATGGACTTTTTATCTTTTCAGAAATCGCCGTTTCCCTCGAAAACAAACAAGGCAACCTGATGAGCACAAACATGGACCTCTTGTTAGCTGCTATGCTAATTAATGGTCCAATTAATCCAAAAGTTACCCACTACACGCCCAAGACATTCCCAAAGCTGAACAATGAAAGTGGACCTACTCACTTTCCTAGTGGGAAACGCCAAGACCATGTCAGAGCAACCCACTTATATTTTACCTGTCTCAAAATTTGCACCAATTGAATTTTACCCTCTTGACTCCAAACTTCTTATTGAGACATGGTTCTAAACCGTGGTTGCATTGTGTTATGGATAAACATTTCAAGGCTAAAACACATACAAATTGGTACAACATTCTAGTTTTACACCGACTTTGGAGCTACTATAATGAATAAATATCCTAAGTTAGAACTTGTAGTAGGAATACTCTTTTTGGACCACTGCCCAACGTTTTTTTTTTTTTTGGAACCTTTCCAGTGCAATGTCTAACCGACATAAGCATCAAGTCTTTGTTTGATACATCTTTCGAGATACTCACCAAAATTGATCTGCTCACAATTTTCAAGCTTTAACCGATAAAAAATATCCTATCAAGCTCTAACACAGTCTAATTAATCTTAATGTTTTACTCTACTAAAACTTAATGACTTGAACGGTGGAGTGTGTGTGGATGATCATTACTAAATTCTTCTCTTATAAAAGTTATCTTAATAGAGTTCAGCTGTCCGTTCAATCCATATTTGCCACCTAAACTGTTTTTGACATTATGAAAATTTTGCAAGAAAATCTCAATAAAATTCCGGTAAGTCCAAAATTCTATATACTGTGGCTGTATTTACGTGGACCACATGTACAGTTTAAAACCATATTCAGAAATAACAAGGACCTACCTATTCAATGAAAATACAATTTCAAAGGTCGATTGTCCTTGAAGGTTTCGTCACCCGACATGAATGTACCAATGAAAAGCCTAATTTATATCCGTGTCTAATTCTTAACCTCTAGCTGTCTCTTCCCTTCTTTTCCCTGAACTCAAAGTTTTTGCTTTCTAGTACTGAGAAGTGACCACATAATAATGCACTTTGCTAGGAAAAATATATCTCCTCAATAAAACATTAGGCGGCATTCTTTTTAGATATTATTAATTATAGGGAGTACAAGTGTTCCTATACGCTTGCCAATTTTTTTTAAACTAATCCTTCTCACCCTTAATATTTTAGTCTCTTCTCACACTTATAAATTATAATCACATGTATCCTTTAATAGAGATAATTGAAATTAACTTAAATGGAAACTTTATTCAAATTATCTCTTCGTTATAGCCAAGTTGTGTGTGTATTTTTTTCATTTTAGTTTTTGGTTAATTACTAAATATATAATTGTAGTTTGTGTTTAAACAATGTTGAGGTACTGACAAAGTTTCACAATATTGAATTATGAAGATAAATAAAGATTTATAAAATATATATAGTTCTTATTAGTATGTAATTTTTTGAAAAATGACCAAAAGCAAAATTATTGGTGTTTAAGTCCAAAATAAACAATATCATATCATTGTAGAGACATCTATGTGTGAATCTCGGATATCCAAAAGTGATATCAGAGTCGATGGTTAAACAGATAATCAACTCAAAGTTTTGGATGAATATTTAGCAATGAAAGATGATGGATCCAAGCGTGGGATATCCAAAGCAAGTTGGTAAGTGTAGCTAAAATTTTAAGAGTCATCATTGAATATTCATAAATGAAAAAAAGGTTTCCGCTAATAGAAAGTTAAACCATAACCTTTTGTTTGAAGGGAAGTTTGTTGGAGTATAAATAAAGTTTCATATCATTGGATCATGAGGAGAAATAAAATTTTATAAAACACATATATAATCTCCATTAATTGATGTCTTTTAGGAGAAGACCAAAAACAAAACTACAAGAGCTGAAACTCAAAATGAACAATATCATATAATTGTAAAGAAATATGTGTGAACCCCGACTACAAAAAAAAATGTATATAAATTTCATATATCTAGTACAGTTACATCCGCTAAATTTCATTATTTACAGTCCAGGCAATATTAGAGAAACTAACAGGACTCTTACACTGAAATTATAATTTGTGAGAAACGTTTATGTGCTTCAACTGTGTTGTTCAAAGAGAATCCGTGAATCTTAATGACCGGCAAAATCTCCACGGTGATTGAACAATATTTGATTTTAGGAATTTTCTTTTTTTTACAATAGTTGCACTGATGTTCGAATTTGTGAACTCATGTATACTATCATTACTAAGTCAAACCCACTAGTTATTTCATATTTGATTTTAGGATTTGAAATAAAAGAAACGAAGCCCTTCGATAAATTGCAGTTTTCACTTTTCAGACGGGTTTAAAGTCCAATTTAAGGTCGATGGAGCGTGGAAAACAATCTATAATTGAATTGAGAAAGCAATTAGTTGATGATGTAATATTGTACCTTAGTAGGAGCGCCAAGAAGAAGGTTATGACTGGAAGGCAGTTTGTGGTAGCAGCAGCCAAAGTAGCAGAGGTGTAAATAAGAGCAATACCATATATGTCCAAGCTCGCAGTGATCCTGAAATTTGTAACCACCGACACAGCTTTAATGATTTATTTTAAAAATGGTAATCAATCAATAACATCATTTGAAACATATTTTAATTGAATATATAACGTAAAGTTTAAACCTAGCTAGATACATATTTGTAGCAGTACACTCTTCAACTTTTGTATATTAGGATCTAATTCTAATCTTAATAGCAAGCAAATACATGTTATTCAATTGAATATTTGCACATACCCAAGGAGAGAAAGGAAAAAGATCTTCCAGAAAGTGACGAAAGACAAGGGGGGTGCAGTTTTCCTGCTTTGAACAATGAAAACTGGCATCATTAAAGTGGAAAAAAGTAGTTTAATTAGCTAGCTAGATATATATACATAATACATGTAATAAACAAGTGTAATATATGTTGATCATATTGATCCGAGTTATGTTGTGCATATATGATATACCGCTCAAAGAAGAAAGCGAAGGGGATAAGGAATATGGTAGCTACGGCCTGTCTATAGAAAATAAAGATGAAGTTGTTCATGCCATGGTCGAATGCAGCTTTTGAGAGAAGAAACATGGCAGCGTAGATGGCTTGTACGAGAATCACAACTAGATAGGGCTTGTTTTCTTTCATGGCTTTGATTAACTTATGATTTTTAAGGGTTCTTGTGAAGTGGAAGTGATGAAAATGAAGATGACATAGATGTTTGTACATAAGTTGTGCCTTTTATGGGCAATGGAGATATTGCATAGTGTGGATGACACTGTCGATCATTGGCTCTAGTCTTTCTATTATGGGGACGTGTGTGGTGAATATAATAAGCTGCTTTTACGTCTTCGGGACCACCCGGGTCAAACACAAATTATTATTACCTAATAATTTACTAAATTAGTTATATTCATGTAATTGTGGTTATTGTTTTAATTAATTATTTATTATTAATCTCAAAGTACAGTCACGGAGATATCTATGTATTCACTATTCAGTGACATAGAAATTAGAATCGAAACTGCTGTTCGTGTAAATATGAGATCAGATACGAATATTATTTTTAAATAGGGTGCAAAAATTATAATATAAAACCCTGTACAGACTTTATTCATTGTCATCCTAACTTCCTCTTAGACGGTGCCAATCTTTCATGCATTTATCTTCGTAGTGCATTGCGTACTGGTGTATGCTATGCTACACCTTTGTATCTATAAAATCAATGTCACATTGTTTTGGTTTTCACTCACGTGCCTGTTTTGGTTTTTTTTTTTTTTTTGGTAAAAGCCTGTTTTGTTTCCAACTATAGTACTATTCAATTCATGTTCTCCAAAATTATCTCCACTTTAATTTCTACATATGTTTTTTTTTTCCTAACTCGTCTTTTCTCCAATCACGTTATCCATAATAGGCACGAGTTTTAATTTTTTTTTCTTTTTTATCTATCAAGGTTGGTGTATCTCGGAGTATACAAATATATATTTGTTTCATTAGTAAACAAATTGGCTTATACTTACGAGTAGTTTTTTATTTTATTTTACAAATATAATAACTGAATAAAACAAAAAAAAATTACTTTATTAATATTTAGTGCAAGTAAAAACCAAATACTTATAGTTAATTATTATATTGTACGTAAAATTTAAAAAATTCTTATTATACAATTCACATAATAGCCAAATAAATCGTTTGCGATCAATATAAAATAGCCATTTATCTACAAAAATTCAACTTTTAATAAATAAAAATTGTGTATTGATTCAAGTTCTTTCTTTTTTTTTTTTAGATTTTTGCTTTTCGTAATACCTGGTTACCTATTAAAGGTAGGGTTATCCAATAAAAAACAAGTTTGTTAAAAGTTTATGTCACATTAATTGTTAAAGGGTGGGGGATATTTGAACTTTCATTTTTTCCTATGCGCCTATCTAATAACGTGTAATTATAATTTTAATTGATATCCGTATTTATAGAATCTTTTTATATTAAACCTTAATTAACTAATGGTCAAGGTTTGACCATTAGTTTGGGTATTGAGTCACGATGAAATGTATTATTCTATTCTTATAGAAATCGATGATTCCTTATTATTAAAAGAATATCTTCGGCTACGGTTCATAAGAAAGAATATTGTATGTACTTTTTAATTTTCATTTTTTAAAATATGTGATAAAAAAAATAGTTTGGTACAAGAAAAAATAATCTAAAAATAAAATAGATTTATTAAAATGTAAATCCAAATATGATTAAAATTAACGTTTGAATAGAAATAAAATATAATAATAATGAATGTAAAAAATGAAGAGAAAATGAGTCAATTTTAAATTGTTTGGTATCAGAAAAATACAAAAATAAGGAGAAAATAAAATAAAATTTTCATCATTAATTGAATATTACTTTATTTAAAATTGAAAGAAAAATATTATTTTATGCCTCTAATTAATAATTATAAATATTACATAATGGCTAATATTATTTTTATTTTAGTGCATTAAATAAAATAATATAAATGTTATTCTAAAAAATAAAATAAAATATTATTTGATAAAATAAAACGAACGTTTATTATATTATTTTATTGATGAAATGAAATCAACGTGTAATTAAACTAATAAGCATTAGTGCAAAAAATAGATACAAGGTGAGTGAGAATATTGAAATTATTGTGAGCAAGTTGTAAATGAGTTGTAGGAAAAGTTTGTGTTAGAGTCCATTTATAAATTGGTAGTACTACACACACCTGATTTAGAACTTAGAAGGGACATTAAAATACATTCCCATTTCTACGAAGTTGTCTCATCTTTCTCGCCAGACGCACGCCCCTTTAACAATCGTTAACTTTTGTTGTTGACGCTGCACTTACCTTTTCTTGTCTAACTGTCATCATTACTTTGCTCGCCCAACATCATGTTTCACTACAAAAAATAAATTGACATACAATACTTTGCTATACATATTGTACTGATCGTATCGCGAAGTCGAGCTCCAAGCTCGGCATCACAGTGCAAGATGATCTCGGGCACGCGTCATACGATGTCAGCTCGGCATTCAGGTGAATCACAACTGATTCCCGAGGATCTCGCCCATACGAGATCCATTATCTAATCACTAATTACCGAAGATCTCGCCCCATACGAGATCCGCTATCATATCTTATCTCAGGCCCAGAGCCCAAAGCAAACCTAATTCACTCCAAGGTACGTGCATTACTTATACGAGACTATTACTCATACAAACCCTAACTTTAGCATCGGAGTCTCTTTTGTAGGTACCACCCCCATCTTGGAGCATCAGCATACAAGTGAAGGAGGCTCACCAATCTTACTTGGAAGATCGACCCTACGACAAATTCCGGTAAGAACATTTGGCGCCCACCGTGGGGCCGATCGAGACAGCTCTTATCGGCCACCCGTATGGAATTCACCAGAAGCCACAACAAACGTGCAACAGAGGACGCTGAACACTCAGTCACCATGGACAGCGACGCTGCAACCTTGAGAAGGCTGATCGACCAAGTCGAACAGATGCGCCAGCAACATGACACTGACCTACGCAACATGCGTGCCAAACACGAAGCCGACCTAGCAGCAATGCAGACAGCCAATGAAGCAGACCTCGCAGCGCTGCGTGAAGAAAACGAGCGCATTCGCGCCCAACTTCCTCGACGCACCTCTGATCACCCTCCTCACAGGAGCAACGTCCATGAAGAGGAGGCACACTCGACCTCTCAATCCCGGACTGCGACTAGGGCACCAACGTCGCAACCCGCCACGCACCGATCTCATGCATCGATGCACAAGCAGGGCCCAGACGCCAGCAGAGCACCCTCACATGCCACGGAAGGCCACGAAACCTTCCGCCGACATCCCTTTGTGGACGACATCATGGAGACCCCACTCCCTCGAGGATGGAAGCCTCTCCATCTCAACCGCTATGACGGCACGACGGACCCCGATGAGCACATTGACCTATACATAACCCAGGTAAACCTCTACACTAACAGTGATGCTATCCTGTGTAGGGTTTTTCCGACCTCGCTCAAAGGGGCCGCACTCCACTGGTACACCCAGCTACCTGCCGAGTCCATCGACAACTTCAGTACCTTAATCCGCCGGTTCACGGCGCAATACGCCACCAGCCGACCTCTCCACGCAACCTCCACTGCGTTGGCCAACCTCAGGCAGAGTGATGAAAACAACCTCAGGCAGAGTGATGACGAACCTCTGCGGGCCTTCATGGAGCGCTTCTCCAGCATCTCGGTGAGGATCCGAAACTTAAACCCCGAGGTCGCCCTTCACTCCATGCTCATGGCCCTCAAAGTTGGCCCTTTGTCGACAGCCTCTGCCGAGACCCCCCACGACATGGATGAACTTCGCGCTCGCGCGGCTGGATACATCCAGATCGAGGAGCACTCCGCCTTCCGCGACCAGGTCCGCGGGAAAGCCCCAGCAAAGCCGGAACAGGGGCATAAGGATAAAATCAAAGTCAACAATGACGGCCAATTCAAGAAGTCGACTAGGGCAAACAAAGGGGGGAGATACGACTTTTACACTCCCCTGAACGCACCTAGGGTACACATCCTGGAGGAAGCCAACAATAATAACTTGCTCGCCCTTCCACCACCGGGTCACACTCCCAGCAGCGCCGACAAGTCCAAGCACTGTCGGTACCACAGGAACCATGGTCACACCACGGAGGAATGTCGCACACTCCGGGACCGCATTGAAGAGCTCATCCAAGTAGGTCACCTCGGCCAGTATGTCCAGCGCCAACAGAGTAATAGAGGTGGCTATGGAGGCCGAGGACGCGGTAGAGGTCGAGGTTCAGGAGCCCGCACTGACTCACGCCCGGGTTCCCAACAAAATGCTAGCGGCGCAGTACAAGTCGAGATAAGCCAAGAGACAGAGTCGGCTCCCTTACGGGGAGTAATCAACACGATTGCAGGTGGTTTTGCGGGAGGAGGCGCCAGCAGCTCGGCTCGAAGAAGACACCTGCGGAGCATCAACTGCGCCCACTCTACCACCTCGGCCCCGCACAAAAGCTCACCGCCGATCTCCTTCTCCGATGAAGACTACGCCGGCGTCAACCCTAACCAGGACGACCCCATGGTCATTGTTGTGGAGATAGCCAACAGGAAAGTGCAGAAAACACTCATCGACCAGGGAAGCTCGGCTGACGTCCTGTACTGGCCAACGTTCCTCAAACTAGACGTCCCTCACTCTCTCATCCAACCTCACACGGAGCCCCTAGTCGGCTTCGCAGGAGAGCGAGTTCACACTCGGGGATACGTAGACTTGCTGACAACTTTTGGAACGCCACCAGATACAAGGCGGGTCATGGTCCGGTACCTCCTCGTGGAAGCCAACACTTCCTACAACATCATCATCGGGAGGCCAACCTTGAACCAACTCGGAGCGGTAGTGTCAACCCCACACCTCACTATGAAGTTCCCGGGCAAGGACGGTCAGGTCATCTCCAGACTTCATCGTCGAGCAAGCAAAGCAAAGGGAATCCCCCCACCATAGCTACTTAAGTTTTTTTGTCTCTCTTCTTCTTCCAATGTGAACAAAGCTGTGCACTCTTTTCCCGCCTCAGCCTTTGACTGAGAGGGTTTTTAACGAGACACACAAGCACCATAAATAAAACTACTCCTTTCGCTCATCTCATATTCTTATTTTCCTGATTATCTAAAGGACGAAAATGAAGTCTAACTGTGCAAACGCTGAAATACGAGGTCGAGTACGAACCTCGATGCTTCCGCTAAAGGTCGCGTTCGAACCTTAATTAAATAACATATCGCAAATTTGAGGTCGAGTCCGAACCTCGACATTTCCGAGGTCGAGTACGAACCCCGACGCTCTCTTTAAAGGTCGAGTTCGAACCGTAATCAAATAGCAAATCCGAGGTCGAGTGCGAACCTCGATGCTTCCGTCAAAGGTCGAGTTCGAACCTTAATTAAATAATCTATCTCAAACTCCATTTTGTAGACTATTGGATCTGCAAATAAAAAGTGAACCAGAAGAAAGTAAGGATTTTTAATTAAGCATATTTATATGGATGTTATTTGAGCAAATTTCAATGTTAAAATTGTTTACATCATTATACATTCCAATGACCACTAGAGTGTGGTATTCCAGCTTTAACAGTGTGAGGAAACATGGGTGTGTTCTGACTTCTGAGCAATTATTGGCCTTATGGTGAATACTTTATGCCTAGCTTTAGAAAATACCAGATAATGCAGTCTGACTGGTTCAATTTCTTGCTTCAATTTATTTTTATTGTGAAAAGAATGGAGAGCAGAAGGATGTGATATGAATATGATTTTTCCAAAATTTTACCTAAAAGTAAAACTTTCGATGATGAGTTAGGAAGGAGAGAAAGAGTAGGTGTTACTATAGGAGAATAAAAAAGCAGCCAATAAAAGGTAAAATAAATTAAAGGAGGTCAAGTGAGAATATTTTACATATTAATTAAGATCAATGGATGAAGAAAGTTTTACTCTCCACCTATGCGTTCAATTAGAAAAAAAAAACTAATTTCATCATCATTCTCCTAGTTTGTGTGGTATCAAGTGCAGCTGTGGTTAGTGGTTGTTTATTATCTTAAGAACTCTCTCCATCCAAAGTAGGAAGTTTTTAAGCTTTGGCTGTTGTTATTGTTGGTTGTGGTTCATGTTTTGATTGTTGCATGAAGTTCCTAATAGCAAGTTTTGGCTGTTGTAGTATAAGAAAGTTTTGGTAAAATGTTGTTATAAAGAGTTTTTTTTTATATTGTTAATTGATACTTACATTTTTTTCATTAACATGTTAGTTTAGTCAAGTGGATGACTATAATAAACATGGCATATATTGTTGTGTTAAAGGATATTGTGGTACTTAATTTTCTCTGTATTAAATAAAGTGTGATATTTTTTCACTTAGAAGTTCGCCAAAAGATAGTGAATGTATCGTATATAACATTGTTAAATAATTTTAATGCATATAGTGAAGGATCGTTCCTTGATCGCTTTGTTATGGTTTATACATTGTCAGCCTCCAGCAAAGAGTTGGACCACCCATTACATTAGTTAGATGAAATTATTTTCACAATTAATAGAAATGACATTACATTGTCTGAACCTAGGAGAAAAAGAATGACATTGTTTTCACAATTAATAGATAAATCGGTCACCCAACCACATCAACATATAGAAACAGAAAAGAAAAAGTCAATTAACTAAACTCAGATAAACAGTGGAAGTGGATCATCTTATGGTCGGTCACGCACACCAACTTATGGGCTACTAAATTAGACAATTACACGATTTAAATGTATACAAGAAGACCCGTTACTTAGTTTTCTATCTTGCACACACACGTTTGAGATTACTAATAATTTTTTTCTTTATTTTTATCCTTTTGCACCAATGTCTGAATATTTAAATTTGAGTAATTAATAAAAGGAGATTTAATATTTTTTATATTATTGTTTATAATGTTAACTTCATTATAGGGTACCGATTAAGGGCGTTGTAGGGGTGCTTAATACCTTTCCTACACGTAATTGACCCTCGAACCCAATTCTGGTTATCAAGGTCATTATTGGACTTTTAAAAACCTTTTCTTTTTCCAATGTTTTCAGTAAAACATTGGTGGCGACTCCATGAACCTATTTTCAAAATCATTAATTAAGGATTAGTTTGGTGTCCGGGCATTTCTTAATTGATAAGATTTTTAAAAGGATGTTTAAATCATTTGTTGCGAGATCGAACATTTTCGGGTTGTACAGCCTTTTGGAAGCCTCTCTTGTGCTCAACCACAACGGAGCATTCGACCCCTGCGAGCCTCTTGTCCATGGTCGCCTTCCCCGCCGCCAGCTCCGCGAGCTCCGCCTTCAAGGTGGCAATTTTGTCCTCACGGCCACCGAGAATGACCTCGCTACGGAGGCTCTCCTCAGCCGCCGCCGCCAACTCTCCCTTAAGGGAGGTCACAACGTCCTCCAGAGCCCACACTTGGCCGCGAGAAGAGGTCACCTCATCCTCCAAGGAGCGAGTGCGGCCTCGAGAGAAGGTGACGAGCTCCTGCAGCTCCCCCCCCTGAGAGGCATAAGCCTCATTGGATCGCAACGCAATCTCAAGAGACTTTTGCACCCGGGCAAGGTCGCCACGCGCAGAGCGTAGCTCAGCCTCGTGCCGCTTCGCCTCATCAAGGGCTGCGCTAAGAGCTTTATTCTCTTCCCTCAGGATCTTGTTTGCCTCCTTCCAGGGTTGAAGTCGGCCCCTCAACTTGGCCAGGTCCTCCTGCTGCTTGACCAAATCCTCCTGTTGTTGGCCCTACTTGGGCTTCCAATGGCCCAATATGCCCATAACCCTCTGCAGAAGGACCAGGGCCGCATCAAAACTCTCTTCGGGACCGGCCCCGTCTATCAATCCCTGGTCCTCGGAGCTCAACGAACCCTGAGGGTAGAACTTCTCCCCGGTCACCCTCGCGCTCCACAGCGAATCAATGTCGGCGGAGGCGCTCATGTGGTCCAGCCGCACTTTGGAAAGACCCTTCCCGAAATGGTGAGCCGGCATCCAGAAAGTCCACAATGGGGACCCCCGACCTTGCCTGCGAAAATCAACCCCATGTCAAAAATAAACAAGGTGACATACGGGGAACTACAAAATCAAGCAAACAAACGCTACCTACCTCAGCAGCTTGGGCGACCCGCTCGGCAGCCTGCGTCGCCGCCTCAGGGGCATTTCCTGCCTACAAAAAACTGCCCCAGGTCAAGTGACCAGAAAGCATAATAAAAGTATTAACGAAAAACCCAAGAAACAAGATATTCACCACCTTGGCAACTCGAGCAACTCGCTCAGCAGCCTGGTCTCCCACCTTGGCAGCAGTCACCCCGACCTGCGAAAAGATACACTCACCTCGGCGGCCTGCACAGTAGGCTCAGCAATCCGAGCCACCTCCTCAGAGGCCACCTGGGGCGGTGGACTCTCAGTCTTTGTGTTTTAGTTTTCATTGCACTGATTTCTTTGGCTTTCTTTCGTTGTTTTAGATTAAGGCTGCTGTTTCTGCGCTTTGGAATACTCGTGGCTTGAACTGGCCTTCTTCAGTCGAGCAACACAGGCATAAAACCGGAGATCTAGACATGCTTGATTGGCTCAAAGCCATGTTTGGTTTCCAGGCATGTATTTTGCACGTGAACAGAATGATTTATGAATGACTAGATTTTTGTATGGCCTCCTTAAATTGTTAATATGTTTGGTTTGTTTTTGGCACAGAGGGACAACGTCAGGAATCAGAGAGAGCATCTGATTTTGCTTCTAGCTAACTCTCATATAAGGAGCACTTATAAAAGGGTAGAGGAGAGAGAAAAAGGTGATGATCTAGCTGTACGAAGAGGAGAACAGAGAGAAGAGAGGAAACAGAGCATTTTGGAGCTCGTGGGGACGCGATTCTTCAGAAGATTTCTTTCCTCTACCTTTCATCTTGTTGTTTTGTGATTTCTTGTACCATGGAGAGCTAAGCTCTAGGGTTGGGATTGATGTAATCATCAAACTCCTTTGTATTCCTCTTTGATTCATATATATATCTCATCTATTACTCAGTGTTAGTGATTTGTTTCTGTTCTTAATGCTTTGATAAACTGATCATTTATCTTTGATCTAGGATTTAGAATTTGGTTAGAAAATGTTTTCTGAATCTAGACTTGAAACAAATCACCTATTAGTTTTGAGAGTCATGGATGGACTTGAAATGAAGTTGCTCCTGAGGTTCGTCTCGTTTCACATTACCCTTTCAGTTCTGTTCGGGGATTTTGTTCCATTTTTCAATATCAATTTGTGTGTGCAGATTATCGCGGCTGCCAGAGATGTCCAGGCGAAGACGGAGATTTATACGCCTTACAATATTCTTCCTCTGGATGCTGCTGGTGCTTCCGTGCCTATTATGCAATTTGAAGAGGTGTTGCTTTTTAAGCGGTTCATGTGTGGAGTCTTTGTGTTTTAGTTTTCATTGCACTGATTTCTTTGGCTTTCTTTCGTTGTTTTAGATTAAGGCTGCTGTTTCTGCGCTTTGGAATACTCGTGGCTTGAACTGGCCTTCTTCAGTCGAGCAACACAGGCATAAAACCGGAGATCTAGACATGCTTGATTGGCTCAAAGCCATGTTTGGTTTCCAGGCATGTATTTTGCACGTGAACAGAATGATTTATGAATGACTAGATTTTTGTATGGCCTCCTTAAATTGTTAATATGTTTGGTTTGTTTTTGGCACAGAGGGACAACGTCAGGAATCAGAGAGAGCATCTGATTTTGCTTCTAGCTAACTCTCATATAAGGCTACACCCTAAACCCGAGCCTTTCAACCTGGCAAGTGTCTGTCTCTCATTTTTTACTATTTTGGGCAAAAGCGTAATGGACTAAATAAAGATAAAACGAAAATCAAGAGAACTCTTGTCAAAATTACATTATCAATTTTTTATCTATCAGGGTAGCCTTAGCCTGCTTTGCTTTGGCCGGAAGTTAAATTCTGTGTTCTTTTTTCCTCTCATTTCCTTTTGGTTTTAATTTTATTCGAAACCGAGGTCGAATATGAACCTCGATGTCCCCGCTTAAAAGTCGAGTTTGAACCTTAGCTAAATCATTTTGCTCAAACCTAAGGTCAAGCCCGAACCCCACCAAAGCCTAAGGTCGGATACGAACCTCGGTTGCTTTGGCCGGAAGTTAAATTCTGTGTTCTTTTTTCCTCTCATTTCCTTTTGGTTTTATCAAAATCACAGCTTGATGATCGTGCTGTGGATTCAGTGATGAAAAATCTCTTTAAGAATTACAAAACATGGTGCAAATTCTTGGGACGAAAACATAGTTTAAGGTGAGATATGATAATGTCAGTGTCAGTGAAAATCTATTTTTTTTTTGTTAAAAGTTCTTATGGTGTTCTTTCACACAGACTTCCTCAAGGACAGCAAGAGATACAGCAGAGGAAGTTGCTTTATATGGGCTTGTATCTTCTTATCTGGGGTGAAGCGGCCAATGTTCGCTTCATGCCAGAGTGTCTATGCTACATATTTCACAATGTGAGTACACTTTCCATGTGTTCCATAATATCTTGTGCTATAATGCTTTTGAAAATGCTATGTAGTTGTTTTCTCTTTTAATCTTGTTCAATTTATTTGTGATTTTTGCATATGCTAATAATGGCCAACTAAAACTTCAGATGGCATATGAACTGCATGGTTTATTGGCTGGAAATGTCAGCATTGTTACCGGTGAAAATATCAAGCCTTCTTATGGTGGTGATGATGAGGCATTCCTTCTCAAGGTTATAACTCCCCTGTACAGAGTAATTGAAAAAGTAAGATTATGTCTCCCATGACATCATCATAATACTTCAGGTATCTATTCTCTATACAATCAATGATTTATAAAGTTATTAATCATGTTAATTATTCTAGGAAGCCAAGAAGAGCAGACATGGAAAGGCTCCACACTCAGCATGGTGCAACTATGATGATCTAAATGAGTATTTCTGGTTGGTTTTTCTTTAGGATTTTATTACTGAAATTGACTTTGTTGGTTTGCTTAATCATTTATTAATTTACAATGTATATTTTTTTGCAGGTCATCTGAATGCTTTTCTCTTGGATGGCCCATGCGTGATGATGGTGAATTCTTTAAATCAACAAGTGATTTAACACAGGTGTTTACATCCTAAGAAGCTACTGCCATGGTTGTTATTTACATTATTTTCAGTATTTATATCAATTTTGTATCAGGGAAGAAAGGGTGCTCCAAGACAATCTGGAAAAACTTGCAAATCAAATTTTGTTGAGACACGATCATTCTGGCACACCTTCCACAGCTTTGATCGTATGTGGACCTTTTTCTTACTGGGTTTGCAGGTATTTATTTCAACCAGAGGAAATGCTTATGTGCCTATATTTCCCCCCTTATTATGGGTTATGACAAGGCTTGAGCATTCTTATTACAGGTGATGTTCATTATGGCTTGGGAAGGGATTTTGCTATCAGATATATTTCAGAAGGATGTCTTATATAATCTCTCAAGTATATTCATCACAGCATCCATTCTGCGCTTGCTTCAAAGTATGATATGTTCACTTAAGTTGCTCTTGTTTATGTAAACTTATCACCCTCTACTATCAGGATCTCTAGTAGCAATCATTTTATATTGATGGTCTGATTATCTTATTAGTTCAAAAAGCTTGACATTTCATATACTGGAAGTTGCATGAAAATGTCATATGAGCAGTACAAACTTCATAAGTGATATGAGAAGCAAGATAGCGCTGAATTATATTTTGGTTTTTTGGCATGACAAATTCCACCTGAAATTGAAGAATGTTGTCAGGGTTCTTTGCCTCCTTCATTTCCCTGTTAGGCAAGTCAGGTGCATGCATGAGTTATTCCTTGCACATCTTTCCTATCAATTTTTAAGTTTTTTATTCAGAAAAGAAATTCTGTAATGTCAACTTATATAAGATCAATCAGCTATGTCAATTGAGAATTTACATGTTTAATAGTTTGGTAGTGACTCTAAAGACCATCAATCTCTACCTTGCAGATTCTATCTACAAAGTTTACCTTCAATATTTTATATTGAGTGAAGAAATCGTTTTCTTCAATGTTGACACTTTATTCTATCATATTTTTTGGGCTAATTAATTTGCTGAATCTGTGTCATACTAAAATTTAGTTGAAATGAGAGGATTTTGTATTAATTGTATATTTTGTACGTTCACTAATCTCCTTTTTTATCTGTTAAATGACTATGTTTAAAAGAAAGGAAATGAGGAAATAACATTAATAAGGAAATAGGGAAACAAATATTTAAAGATATTTTTTACCTCTTAAATGTTTACAATATTTAAATAGTCTCCCTCAAGTGGATATCAATTATTCCCAACTTGCTACTAAGATCTTGGAATCTAGCACTGGGAAGTCCTTTTGTGAAGACATTTTCCACTTGAAGTTATGTAGGCATTTTGCTGTAACTAAGGCCACCATCCAACTTTTCTTTAAGTGTCTGACAATCTCTTTGTGTTCTCTTCTGTCTTGTTGGATTGGTTACGAGCAATGCTAATAGCTGAATTGTTATCACAAAAACTCATGGGACCTTTATATTTAGCTTTGAGGTCATCAAGAATAATTTTCATCAATAATCCTTCTCATATGTCATACATCATAGCTTTGAAACTCAGCTTCTGCACTAAAATGAATAACTACATTCCGCTTCTTGCTCCTCCATGTTATCAAATTTCCATCAAGAAACATGCAATAACCAAAAGTGGATCTTCTATGTATGATTGACTTACATAATCAACATTAGTGTATATCTCCATGTACAATGAGTCTTCTTTTCTAAATAATAGTCATTTTCTCGTGCTTGCCTTCAAATAATGAAGGATCATCTCTACTACCTAAAGGTGTGTCTCAGACTCTCATGTGGGTCATGCATAAATTGATTGACTACACTAACAATGTAGATATTATCAACTTAGTATGAGATAGAAATATTAGTTTGCCCACCAATTTTTGGTATTGGGATTTCGCTACAGGTGAACTTTCTTCACTTCCAATCTTGTGGTTCTGCCCAATGGACACCCTCGTTGCATCCTAATTTACTTGTCTCCTTAAGAAGGTCAAGAATGTCATTTTTTTTGGGGAATTAAAATGCTTTATTTTTTGTTTGGAATAGGCAACCTTTATTCCAAGGAAATATTTTAGCTTTCTCAACTCCTTTATTTTGAAATGAATTATCAGCATTTCTTTCAAGGTTAGTTTTTGTCATCATCATCTACAATACACTACACAAAGCACATATATAGAGTATGATCACCTTGACTTTGTTTGTATTCCTAATGCATCAAGTGACTAAAACGGAGACGGAGAACGAACGAAAGCGAGAGCAATGGCGTGCACAAGAAGCCACAAGAATGGAAAAGAGCAAAGTGAAAAAGGCCAAGAGGCGCGAGTGAAAGAAAAGAAAAAACTCTCCCCCAGAATTTCAAAATGGTCACGACACGTGTCACCCAAGGGACACGCCTGACCACGCATTAAATGAGACCCATTATGACAGAGGAAGCCATCATTGCATAACTGTCATGACCACTAACGCGTCGACCTCGTGTTTCGAAATACGAAACGACTTTTGCACGCGTGGCATCTTGATAGGCGGACATACGCGAAGGGTCACTTCCCCCTGGCGAGCTCGGTCTTAACTCCTTGACCTTCGGTCTTCGAAGCTCGGGGGGCTAGTGTACTGACTGTACCGCGAAGCCGAGCTTCAAGCTCGGCATCACAGTGCAAGATGATCTCGGGCACGCGTCATACGACGTCAGCTCGGCATTCAGGTGAATCACAACTGATTCCCGAGAATCTCGCCCATACGAGATCCATTATCTAATCACTGATTACCGAAGATCTCGCCCCAGACGAGATCCGCTATCATATCTTATCTCAGGCCCAGAGCCCAAAGCAAACCTAATTCACTCCAAGGTACGTGCATTACTTATACGAGACTATTACTCATACAAACCCTAACTTTAGCATCGGAGTCTCTTTTGCAGGTACCACCCCCATCTTGGAGCATCAGCGTACCAGTGAAGGATGCTCACCAATCTTACTTGGAAGATCGTCCCTACGACAAATTCCGGTAAGAACACATATAATACATATTATTAAAAATTATGTTTATTTATATTATAAATATAATATATATTAATATATTGTTAAAAAAAAAAAGGTGTAGATTACAATAACAAATATTATATGTTATTAAATTTTATTTAAAATTAACATTAAAATTATCTGTAATTATATGTTCAATAGATTTATATACACATATATTATATTTATAATGACACTTTTTGTATGACACTTTCTCTCAAGTTGAATGATGATAGATTCTTGAATCCTTTTCTTGAAATTGTCCACAGAAGATCAAAAGATTCTTTCGCAAAGTGAACATAGCTTTTTTTAGTTCTTTTTTTATCTAAGTTCAAAAATTATCACAAAGATATAAATTTTTTAGTTCTTTATAATCTAAGTTCGAAAAATGATATTTAAAGAACTTTGTCTGAAATAATCAATTATTTACATGAATAATCGATTATGTTGTTTTTGGTAAATCAAGAATACTTAGATCAATTATTTGCTGAGATAATCGTTGACTCTAAAATAATCAATTATTGCATAGTGATAATCGATTATTGCAATGTGTTTTTTATAATGAGAAAATTAGAGTAAATAATTGATTATTCAAGTCGATAATAGATTATTTTGAGTGACAGACTCAAATTCTCAATTTTTCATCATCAATCATCATCTAATAAGAGATATAACTAAGTTACTCATAATGCACAAAGCAAACATGCATACCAAAGCTTAAAAATAAATCAATACAATTTGCACTCTTTTAACTATGAGAGACATTCTTTGTAACCATCAAAATAAACTTCTTCATCATGAGTTTAGTCAACAAATTCTCTTAAGTCTTCATCATGAGCTAGCCTTGCCAACAATTGTTTGTTTGTCGAGGTTTGAACAATATGTTTCTTATATTTGTTTTTATATATTCTTTGATTAAAAATGCATGGATAGTAATTAAAATTGAGGACATAATTTTTTATTGAATTGAATTGTTCTATCTATTGTTGAATTGGTACGCTTTTTTTCGATCTATTTGTGTCTTTTGTTTGGTATGTGGATTTCTTGTATAGAATGGGGACATTTGATATTGAAACTTTTAATTTGGAAGGATTTATAGACTTTGCATTAGTCATCCTCGTTATTTTATAACTCATCTACTATTTGTAGTCATCATCGTTACAAATCCAAATTGACTCGACATCTCCCAACTATTGGATTGCTTAGATCTAACAACTCATAGGACACAATCCTTTGACTCTCATAATACAGTGTTTCAAAATGAAGAGTCACATCTGTTACATTTCTCTAGGATGATGTCATCACCCACATTACTTGTCACCTTTTTTGTCACTTCTCTTATTATTTGAGAACATGTTTTGACCTTTCCTTCTTCGACTGTCGAGACGACCAATGATAACACTTTGACTGAAGATAATATACTACCTTATTACCTTAGTCTTGGTCACCTCAATAGTCGAAATAGTTGAAAAATGTTGAAATGATTTATTCACTCTCACGTGCATACCCTATTTAGAATAGCTTTGATGCTCTTAGCTATCAAGCAAGCCAAGATGACCAACACCACTAGGCTATAAAGACTACAAATTACCCAACTAATAAAGGGATTAGCCTATGTTAAGAGGTTAGTCTATTATTAGCAGTTGTATTACCTAATTTTATTTAGAAAACAAAGTTCACCAAGTTCAAACTTAAACTCATTATAGTGAGTATAAATAGTCACACAAACTAACCATGGTAAAATTATTATTTATTTATTATTCACTTAATTATTTGAGTTTGTCTAGATTTGAACGTTGGAGTGCCTTTTACGGATATTCCCTCAAAGTGTTCAACTAAGAAAGAGTTCAAAACCTGTTGACAAAGACTTATCAATATACCCTCAAACAGGTACTCCGTCGGAGTTAATGACTAGCAAAGAGTTTAGAGCTCGATGACAAAGATCTATTAGTATATACCCTCAAACAAATACACTGACTAACGGTAATCTTCACTTCTAAGTATATTTATATCATGCATAAGAGGCTCAATTTCAATATTTTTCTTTATAAGTTCAAATTCAATTCCAACCAGATCAACTTAATATAATAAATATGCTTTTATATATGTACAAATGTAAAATAAATTTAGATTATATAAATAAGATAAATTCAAATGTCCTCGTTCAATTGCAATCTTATTCGAGATTAAAGTCACATTATTTTGTCACATTCTGAGAAACGGCATACTTCTACTAAATTGAAACTTGTCGGTGGGAATTTATTGTAAGAGTACAGTATCTTACTCCTAGTTTTAATTTTGTTTCGATCATGAGCGGGATAGATTCAACAATGAGTCTTAAAAGATAACTTGAGAAAGACTTTTATGCTTAAAATAAAATAGTTATGACTTAGACTCTTTTTTTTATAACTTGAGAGAAAGACTTTCATGCTTAAAATAAAAAAAGTTATATGTTAGATTTATTTTTTTATGGATATATATGTGATCTTCTTGTTTTACAAAACCTAACCTAATAGTAAATAAGTTTTAATTGTTGGACTTAAAAATTGAACTTTAGTAGCTTTATCTTTGGGTGGACCATGATCACAAGTATTTTTTTATTTGGATGTAATTTTGTTTGAATAGAGTAGAATTACTCTTGGTAGCAAACTTTCTCTTTGAATATTTAACGCAAGTTCATGACCGCTAACAATGACAAATATTTCTCTATTTCCATACCATAACAATTAACAAGTACAAATGCTTCACATGCATTTCGGATTTATATTCTTAATAATGAGTTAAATATCTC